ACTGGATTCATCGACCCTCGGAAAGTAAACGTCGCAATGCTCGACCAATATCCACAAGAAACAGAGGACAATCTCGTCCATCTCCTGAAGGCGCAACATTACAAGACGTTCATACTGTTGCCATACAACACAGAGTTAGTTTAATTTTACTGTCTTCCTACATACCAAATTTCATTCCCGTACGAACTTGCTAAGTGTTTCATATGTAATGCATCCCACGCACATTGCAGATTCCACTGGGTGCTTTTACTCATCGACCTGGAGGCCTGCACCGTCAACGTATATGACTCAATGGATAAAAAAGAGTCTACGTTTGACAAGGTTTTCGAACTTATAGACAGGTACCGTCATAAGTTCCTTTGTTAATTAAGAAAATCTTGTTATGTTAATTGCTACTACGAATCATAGCTTTAAACTCCATGTAGGGCTTGGTATCGGTTCCGTCATTTGGTCCGCGGCAAATGGAGAGAAAGACTTAGGCGGAAGTTCAAATTTCCTGTGAGTACACATGCTCTACATTTATATTTCTCCGATTCAAATACATACAAGTGTATATTAATTAGATCTCTCGTTGTTTGTCATTTATTTGTAGTGCGCAAAGCAAAAGCAGGGAACTAACTTGTGCGGCTATTACGTGTGCGAGTATTGCCACTGCCTTGCAGACCAAATCATCACCACAAGAGAGCTCGATGTACGTACAAATAAATTCAAAATTTCATTACGTAGCGATTTCTTGTTTAATTACTAATCAATTTCATACATTCATATAGTTTATTCGCATGAGGGATAACCTGACCACACACAAGGAATTTATCGCGGCGGTTCAAGAACAACTCATGGGATTCATCAACGAAGAAATCCTTGATCCCAAGGGTGAATTCTACTACGACGGAAACACAATTCACCGGTCCTTAGCTTCTGAGCTAGCAGCGAGTACTACTACGTCGAAACCGTAGCTAGCTAGGACATATAATGGATTGTAATTAATACATGACTACATATGTTTCTATATACATGTGTACACATTTTCTATAATGTAAATATATTTTGTTCATATATATATCTATATACATATGCATTTGCATAACATATATATGTATAAATACATATATATATGTATGCATATATATGTATTGAAACATATATATGCATGGTTTATATATATATATATATATATATATATATATATATAAACCATGCAGCAACAGGGCCATGCAAAAAAAAAAAAGGTCAGCTCTATCTTTAGTCCCGGTTGGTGTTACCAACCGGGACTAAAGATCGATCTTTACTCCCGGTTATTTCACCCGGGACTAAAGATAGCGATCTTTAGTCCCGGATTGGTACTCCCGGTTTGGAAACCGGGACTAAAGGCGGGTTACGAACCGGGACTACAAAGGGTTTCTCCACCAGTGAATATTTGAGGGAAGTACCCTAACCACATTGATATCATAAACCAAAACAACACATGTTTATTTAATGTAAATTACTGTCACGGCTTTACCTTGCAGTGTGTTTTTCATTAAAGGAAAACTATTTACATAAGAGAGAAACAGGGGGAGCATGAAAAAATATTACAAAGGTTGTAACCAATTAAACACAATTTGCTTTAGGGAGTCATTCATTGTATACATATATAGGAGAACTTCACTATTGAACAAACTTCTCCAGGCTTCGAAAGAGGGCTGAACATGTCGAAAAATCGTTCCATTTCTTTGCTTACAAATATTCCATGCGGCCAAGAAAAATACTTCAAAAAAAACCTTTTTGCTTGTACTGGAGTCATGCCATCACCACCATTTGGAAGAAATTGAGATTAGGGTCTCAAAGAATTCCCAGGTGCTACGAACATCTTTGACTAAATGAGCAGAAAAAAAAGATGTGCTCTCTCGTTTCTTTGTGACCATTTGAACAAAGCGCACAGGTCAAATCATCATCTTCCTTTCCACAATACCGGCGATCCAGTACGTCTATGGTATTCAGCCAGTCGCTAAAAAGGAGCCAAGCAAAGACTTTAATCTTCATAGCACAATGTGTTTTCCAGAGGCCTCTCCATCTGCACTGAAATGAAAGAACGTTCGTAAAACCTTTTAGCAGTGAATATTATAAAACAACATATGTTGTATACTAAAAAGACTATTTGACGCTCTATATTATCGCCCACCCTCCCTCGTCTCTTGAACTAAGCTATTCCCAGAAATCACCAGGGTAACAAAATACGGACACTGAAAATTTCTGGAAACAAGAACAATAAATAGGAAAATTCAATGACATTTGGTCCACTTTGGGTGTTGAGCCCAGATTTAAATTTATTTTCTAAAAAAAGGAAAAACAAATGAAAAGTACATGGAAGATCATTGATTTGTTTAGGCGTGTTACGTAGGACACTCAACTTTCAAAATACACATTTAGATCATTAATATGAGTTAAGTGGGTCATCTTGTATCTAACTATTCACATGAGCATATCTGATATACATATGGCATGTCATCATTTATGATTAAATAAAATTGCTTTCGGTATGTGCATAGAACTGCATAAACCTCGTCTTGAGGCAGTCTAATAGATGGGACTTGGCCTCTTTTTGTCCTTCTCCACCGACGGCCACCCAGGCTGCAGGCTCGTTCAACACCTAGATGCCTTCGATATCCATCATTTACTTGCACCCAAACGTTTCGATGGGGGAGGAGTGGGGATTGGATTTAGGTTTCGATCGATGATCGACTCGGTACTCCAATGTATTCCTGTGTTTAGATGGCCCACACGTCAGCGCTTGTTTTCTGTAGGTGTAAGTTATACCGTTAAAAAAAAATTATTTTTTCTGTGGGTATGCTGCGGGACCAACAGAAAATATACCAGCCCACAGGCTTGCCCCCAAGTCTGGTAGTGAACCCTCTTTGCCGGTATGTGTAGTTCGTTGCTCTCAGTTGAGGGTAGAGGAAAGCTCTAACTGTGTTTCCCCTCGCCACGTTCACTGTCACCATTTACACAGCTCTTGCACTACTTACTGGTGCAGGACCTTGATCAAACACCTTGTTGATGTACCGTTGCTAATCCGGCGGGACCTTAAGTTGTTTGCCTGGGAATTATATTTTCTGATGCGCGACCTTAAGCTATCCGTATACGAAGATATATTTTCGTAGGTGGACAGCTCATCCCCATCTTGTGCACCCATGACTTAATTTGCAGGTAGCCATTTGGGGCCGAAAATATGGCCCTCCTTCGTAATGGTATGGGCCTCGCCTGCGAAAATCGTTTTGCTAGTAGGGAGAAGAACATTGCAGAGAACAGTGTATGGAAAAGAGATCTGTGAAGCAATTTTCTGGTATTTCCTTGAACAAAATGCAAGAGCTTACAAACAGTAAAAGTGGCACCCCACGCTGCGAGACTCCACTCAACCTACACCACGCACATTCAGCGCACACACACGCACACCACTGACAAGTGACAACATGCATTGTCACCGCTTCGATCGCAACAAACTGCGACCTATTCTGCTTCAGCGCCAAGGAGTAAACAGCAGCAGCAATGAAATCGCAAACAAATATCACTCTGCGAAAGTAAAACCAGACCCACGAAACTTCTCGGTGAGAAACTTATCCAGGCTCTCAGCCATCTCAGGCGTGACGTAGTTCACCCAATCTCCAACCGCACCCTTCCGGAAGTACGACTCATTTGGGACCTCGACGTTTACCACTCGCCGAAAACCTGCGTTCTTTGCGCCCGAAGCTTTGAGCCCCTGCAGGCTGCATAGATTTATAATGTTCTCAACAATCCCTGCTTCCTTCTCGGCGTCCGAGAACGGTTGCCCGATAAATTCTGCAATCTTCTCAACATTCTATACGGGATCACGTTGGATATCCTCATATTTTAGGAATAAAACCCTGTCTGGCATCGCCTGGCTCGCTCTCCAGTATTCGAGGATATGCTCCCAAATGGGGCTCCCAAAATATGTACCCTCGCGGATGGACTCCCACACATCAGAGAATGACATCACATTAGATTTAGAACGGTTGATGAAATGCCAGTAAGAAACTAGCATGTCCTTGGGTTGCCTACGACTCAGAAAATAATGTAATTATTAGTACAATGCTATTTATCAATAAATTTAGCATGTCCTTAGGATGCCTGCGATAAAGAAAATAAATGTTATTACCATGACTAGCTAGTAGGAATAAATTGGTCATATGGGTGCATAATTTGACTTACATGTCGCTGCTACAGAATTAATTTTTCTGGATGAGACCACTTATAAGTTGTTGGCGGACTATAATTTCTCCTGTATGTAAAAATGATCCCTCGAGCACAGTTCAGGAATACCCCTTAACAGGCGAACCACTTAATAGGCCTGCAAAAATAAGCCTGCAAAAATAAGTCTATTTTCGAACGCGAACCTCTTAAGAGACTTGCATAAGAGATTACCCCTCTCTCTCCCTTCTTTTTTTTTCTCTCCCCTCCTCTCCCTCTCCCCACTCCCACTCCATTCCCCGCTTGCAAAAAATAAGGCATGCAGTCTCTCCCCCACTCCCACTCCCACTCCCACTCCCATCCACTCTCTTCCCACTCCCATTCACACTCCCCTCCTCCAAATCCTGCTCCATTCCCCACTCTTCATGTCTCCTTCACTTCCGATGAGAGGGTGGCGGTGTGCGACGGAGGCTAGTTCAGGCGAGGGCAGTGGTCGGCTCAGGCGAGAGTAGAGAGGTCGGGCGAGAGGGATTATTCTGTCAGCGATGGCGATGGGAGGGGCGGATCTGGTGCTCCCTCCCTATCCCGTGCTGATCTGGCTACCGCTCGGCCTCCCACGCGCACAGATCCTGCTCCTCCTGCCCCTCCCACGTGGATCCCACCGCCTCTACTCACCCCATGTGCGTGGATCCGCTGGAGGCGGTGACAGGAGGGGCCCCTCCCCCTCCCACGTGGACCTCACCGCCTATCCGCCCCCCAAGCACGCAGATTTACCAGCGAGGGTGTTGGGAGGAGCGGATCCGCCCCCCTCCCTCTCGCGCAGATCCTGCCGCCTCAACACCTCGCGCGAAGACGGCGACGCTGGCGGCGGCTTCAAGCGAGGATGATGACGATGACGAAGATCCGCTGGTGGCTTGGGGCAACGGCGACGATGATGGCCGCGGTGGCTTCGAGCGATGATGATGACGATAGTGGCGGTGGCTTCTTGATTCTCCGGTTAGGGTTTCGATTTTTTTTTGTAATTTTTCCTTTTCTCGGTCAAACTTATATATTTATAAAATCCTGGGAGGAATTATATTTTTTTATAGAGTCCATGTACACTATTATTTCTGAAATTTCTATTTGTGTTTTTCATATTCTCCCATAGTCAAGCCTTTTCTTCATGTGTATAGATTAAAATCGAACATGATGAGCCTTTTCTTCGTTTATATCTTCAAATTCTTGCAGAACATTCCATACTGGGGTGGTAAAAGCTCAAATGTGTGGACGTACGCGTGCGGTGGAGTGGCCGAGTGGGCTGTGCGTGTGTTGTTGGCCATGCAACGTCCATAATCGCATGTATGTTTAGAAGTGGATATATCGAGCCATCTCACATCACTTCACTTACCTGCATATGTAAACGATTTTGCAGCCAGGGTTGTCGGTAACGGAGGCTGGCAGCACCGAGAATGAAGCGTGCGTGCTCATCAGCCGCGGCGACGGCGCCGCGGCGAGCCTGGCCTCGTCCCCGGCGAAGTACACGGCCTCCTTGAACGGGACGCAGTCGTGCGGGTTGAGATGGAGCAGCGGGTGCGGCTCGCCGCCGCCGGTGGCGGCGGCGCGGTGGGTACGCGGCGCGCGCCGCCGTGGCGAAGGCCAGGGCCTTGAGCCACGTGGTGCCGCACTTGGGCAGGCTCGCGAGGACCACGTCGCCGTCGCGCGGGGCGAAGTGGCGCTGGATCGCGACGAAGCCGAGCACCCAGTCCTCCCGGAACCAGGAGCCCTGGTAGAGGCGCATCCTCTGCGGCGTCCCGGGCAGCTTGCTCGGGAGCGCGGCGACGATGCCGCGGTACTCCTCCGCGGCCAGGGCCGCCACGGAGGCTGGCTGCCTCGGGATCGCGGCCGCGCCGTCGTCGTCATCATTGTCGATGACGACGACGAGGACGTCCTTGAACGGGATGGGGCGTGCTGTCCCGGGCACGGCATTTGTTGCTGGCATAGTGTGGACTGTGGACAACGTACGTACTGACAACGATGAGTATGGGCACAGCACTACTGCATAGACTGCACTATTTATAGTGACCATACGGGGTGGGAGACAGGGACCATCGCCAGGAAACGTGGCCCTGACAAATAGCCTGTTATGTTTGCCATTTTTATATTCAAACTTTCCTAAATAAGGTCATGAGCTATGGAGGCTACTACTGATATAGTAAGTGGCCTGGCCTGGCCTCATATCGTACCATAAGGTCCCGTTCGTTAGGAGGACAAAAGGGAGAAGAAATTGCTCTTTTTTTTTCTGGCATGCTTTCCAAACTACTACATAATAGTATCTTTTATTTAAAAAAGTATAACAAGATTATCGAGAACGCTTCTTATCGGTATACCGATAAAAAAAATCGGGCACTTAAATTTTCCAACCAACCACATGCTTCTCTCCCCACCCTATCACAAGTACATGTATCCATTTTCTAAATATTTCTTATAAATTACTTATCCTATTACATCATTGTATTCATTACAATTAAATATTTGTAATGACATATTACAATGATTATATTCCGATGAAAGAAAAACATATATTTCAAACCGTTATAACTCAATGTTTTGTATATATACTAGTGACATTGTTCTCACCAGTAGTGTAACCACATTACCTCTACTACCAGTTGGCTTTATTATAGCCTCAGCTAGTTCGGACCTATATTTCATCAATGCTGATGAGAAAACTAAATCTTTTTACCCTCTCTTATTAGCACCTGTGACGAAGGCTAAAACTCTATATTTTGATATGGAGAGAGCACTTGGGATAGTAATAGTGGATTAATTATTTCGATCATATGACGCTGGACAGCTGGTTTTGTTTAGGACCCATGGGTGTTCAAGCGTCACGGCACACCCAAATACGTAGTACTCTGTGCTACCAGGCCAAAGCTCAGGCTTCTTCCATTGATATTGAAGAAAATGAGGAGGTAACTCGCTAGTGAGTACGTACTACATCAGTTAGAGTAAGTTAATTTGATCCCATAATGAATTGATTTCAGGTTATCCTCAACGGCATTGGCAACTGACATTATCTGTAGCAATATACTAATATTATTGCCTAGCTTGATGGATTGGTTAATGATGAGTAGTCGTCAGTATTTGGTTGTTGCAATGAAGCACTTGTCGAACCTCGAATAAGACAGGAAACTCTTTCTATCGATGGATCAATCTGGCAAACGTATGTTGCGCTAGTGAAAAGAAAACGAGAGGAAACAAGAAAACGCTCCGAATGCCTGGAGCAGTGAACCTGCATGCCCGCCTGGTGGCCGTGCAGTCGTCCCCTCCTGATCCCAACATCTTATCCACGCACTCCTTGCAAAAAAAAAAACAAAGAAAGAAAAAAAGAAAAAAAAAGAAAGGAAAAAACAGCTCCTAAAAAACCGAAAAATTCTAACCAGTTCATCCGCTCATCTGCTTCTGGATGCCATTGCAATGAACGGGAAGGTCGATAGTAAGAAGAAATCTATAGATCAGCAAAAGTAAAATTTACGAATTACCTCTCCGAACTATCGCAGTCGACTGAGTTACCCCAAACAATAAAAATAGACATCCTTCACCCCCAACTATTCAAACCGGATAAATAACCCCTCAGCTCAATCCATTGTGGTTTTAGTACTACGTAGCAGTCTAGTCAGAAATTCTTTTAATAAAAATAGGTGGGCCCCACCTGTTAGTTCCATGCTCCTCTCTATCTCTCTACTCTATCTCTATCCCCAATCTCTCCTCCTATCTCTATCCTCCCTCCCCTCACCAGCTCACCAACGCGGCAGCACAGAAAATGGAGGTGGGCAGGCGAGGGTGGGGGGTCATATATGGAGTACGGAGTTACTTATGAACATGGTGCACAATATGTAAGTCCTCGTACTATTTTTAGTACGTTATTGATGGAAGCACTAAGAACAACTGCCAGGGCCAGCCCAGCCCTAGGGAAGGGCGGGCAGTGCGATCGCCCTGGCCCCCAGGCATCAGGGGCCCCTAGCCAGCCATATACACTATACGTACATACTTATAAGTTAATCCCTTTCCAAATCATGCGTCTATGCCAATTGGTTTATTTTTAGCATGCTATAGTCTATGCTTATATAGCACCCTGAATAAAAGAACTAGATTAATGAACTTATGGTAATTAGTGGATTCATATATTTGTATAATACAATCTTCCTAGTTGATTCAGTGGCCTTGCACCAATTTCTGACTGATGGTGTGCTTTTTTAATTTTTGGGAGCCATGTCAGATAACAGAAATTTGGCTTTGATGATTTTTTTCAATATTATTTTGGTTTTCTATTCAATTACCAATTAAACAATAGTTTATGTTTAATGGTTTGTTGAAGTTAAACATTCCTTTCTATTTACCATTTTGCGTCTACTCAACTAATAGGACATGTACAATGGTGTTTATTAGTGGTCTCTCTCTACTGCCATGCAAGTAAATTTGGTGACATGGAGGAAAGAGAAATGAGTATGGTTGTTATGCATGACAACGGCTCAGAGTCGACTCTTAGCATTTATTAGAGCAAATTTTGTTGCATGGTGGTGAAAGAAAGGAAAGAAAAGTAAGAAAAAGTATTTTGATACATTAATGATTAGAGACCATATTATCTCTAACTGTTGTAGGATGCTAGTCTCTAGATAACGCAGAGCTCATATCTGACTCTACCTTTGTACATGCCCTTAGGGTCCAAATGGTGACCATAAATATTACACACATATAAGAGGGCTTTCAATAAAAATTTATTGAGGCTACAAATTTGACATTGGTTTCTTTCTCTTTTAGCGTACGTTAATTAGTAGGTGAACTTGTGGAGTTGCAGATACGCGAGCATGACGTGTGTAATGACATATATATGTGTGCTTTTCATATAATAAATAGATAACTAAATTACGTGTGTACATCACTATCGATGAGTGATACTCGTGGACCGAATGAGTTGGGTATTGGGGTATGTTGGAACGAGGATCTACGTAATACGACATCAAGCAGGCAAAAGAAAAAAAATTATACTGGTTCAGGCCCCTTGTCAGGTAATAGCCTTAGTCCAGTTTATATGAGATTGATGATGAGGAACCACATATACAAATAAACTAAACGAAACAGACGATACCAATGAGATCGTAGTCGATGAATTCGACAAATCTCCCGGCGACTTCACTCCGCATACTCCGGCTTCGTGAACTATGGTAGGTATGTAGGTGATGAAATTTGATGCCTTGCACCCCTCCCTGGAGGTCCCTTTTATACCGTGGATCATCTTAACCCCAAGTAAGGTCTGGGGATATTTGATCTGGTACAGTATAACAAAATCTCTATCTCTTTTGAGTAGGATTTTAGAAATCGCTTATCTTGTAGAGATATTTCTATAATAATTTGCAACAGATTCCAAACGATGCATACGGAAACGATCCGTATGCGTGAAGGTATACCTTATCGATATATTCTATAAGTCGCAGGATAGTAGATATGCCTTAACCATAATCCTGACAATCACATACAAACAAATACAGTAGGTATTTTTTTTTCGAAAAGCTTTTTAAATTATCGTAATATCGTAAATAGATAGTACGGTTGCATTGTTTCAATTTCTACTCATTGGTGGGTTATGAAGGTCTGGGCCTCTGTTTTTGCTCGCCCTAGGCCTCCAGAATTTCGGGACCGGCCCTAACAACTGCCCGCATAATAAACACAAAATTCTAACTAAGCAAGTCAGTACCTGATCTAAACCCGTTTGGGTTATGGGAAACGAAAACCTAACGTTTTTTATAATATAAGGTGAAGTACTGCTAGGACGGATAACACAACACTGTTAGAGCATGCAACCAGTAAAGGCTTTTATGCTGCAGGAATCCGCAGATCACACATGGCATTTGTGCATCTGAAGGACAGTCACTAGCAGAGAAATCCTCATTGATTGCTGTTCTAAACCCCTAGTAGGTATAGTCCTTTTTTTTTTCTGGCGTGAAAAAGAAAAATACTCCCTCCGTCCCAAAATATAATAACTTTTAGCCATCAGGATTTGTCTCAAAATATAACAACTTATCCACCAACATTCTCTTTACAACCAATCACAACCCTCACCATTCATTTCTACCTAATTTTTTTAATAACTGTGTCTAACTCTAAAACTTCTTATATTTCGGATCGAAGGGAGTAAAATATTTTGATTTTTTTATATATTCCTAGGCATTATATAAATGGTCACTCTTCTGTTCTCGCAACTCACAAGATTCTTCACATCATTTTCGTGCACATTTGGATTGCAAGATTTGAACCCCTTTACCATCTCACCTAGATACGCTTGTTATTTTTCAAGCGTATACTATTCATTTGAGACTTAGCCGAAACTTATAATAATTACTTAACACCATAGGTAAGGTCAAATAAAAATATTATCAACATAAAATAGCAGATTTTATCGTGATCTATAACTTTCTCATAGATTTTGTCCACATCAGGGATCGTTTAGAAATTTTAAAATTCCATGTATCCAAATTGATATGAAAAGTTATAACACATTTTTTACATCCAAACGATCTCAAAAAAAATTCATTAACTACAAATTCATAAAACAATAAAATATGGGACATATGGCATTGCATTTATAAGGTGCTAGTTTTATTAAACAAAAAACAACACATATATGACATGAGTGCTGATTTATAATAAAAAACTAGCACTTATGATTTACTAAATTATTGGTGCTAGTTTTATTATGACCCAGTACTAACGAGTGGTTATAGGTGTCCGTTCTTCATTTGATTATGTGAAAAGGGCGTTTTTGGGTGGAAAACCCATTTCAGGCAAACCGGCACATATGTGCTATTCTATACTGTGAGTCATGATAATCAGATTTTAGAATTGAACAAAATCCATTCACTACTGCAGAATAGGGATTCGGTGCCGGTGGGGAAACCCCCTTCAGTGCCGGTTTTCCCAACCGGCACTAGGGAGGCGGCACTGATTTGAAAATCAAATAGGAGAACCGGCACTTTTAGGT